ACTACAGGCATGTGCCACCATGCCCGGCTAATTTTATATATATATTAGTTGGCCAATTAATTTCTTTCTATTTATAGTAGAGACGGGGTCTCGCTCTTGCTCAGGCTGGTTTCGAACTCCTGACCTCGAGCAATCCGCCCGCCTCAGCCTCCCAGAGTGCTAGGATTACAGGCGTGAGCCACCGCGCCCGGCTTAGCATGGTAAATTTTTAAGGGAATCCATGAAAGATACAGAGACAGAGAGAGAATTAAGAGAATATATTTAGAGGAATCCAAGGAGGGATTAAAGGGAGAGAGGGGAAATGGGGGGAGAGACAGAGAGACATTGAGAGAGAGAGAAATTATTATATTGATTGGTGATAACTGTTGAGAAAAGGAAAAAAATAGGAAAAAGGGAACATAGGTAGTAATGGAGAAGTGGTAACTGGTGTCTGTTCATCATAGAAACCTTCCAAAAAACTCAGCATAAAAGCAAAATACCTCAAAATAATAAGCACCACATTTAACAAACCCATAGCCAACCTCATACTGAGTCAGGAAAAGTTGAAAGCATTCCCCCTAAGAACTAGAAGAAGAGAAGGCTGTCTATTTTCACCATGTCTATTTTCAACACAGTACTGGATGGAAGTCCTAGTCAGTAAAGTCAGTCAGAAGAAAGAAATAGAGGTCATCCGAATTGGAAAAGACGAAGTCAAATTATCTCTGTTTGCTGATGATATGATCTTATACCCAGGAAAACCCTAAGAACTTCTACAAAAGACTCCCAGATTTGATAAATGAATTTAGCAAAGTCTCAGATTATAAAACCAATATGCACAAATCAATAACATTTTTATACACCACCAACAACCAGGCTGAGAACCAAATTAACAACTCAATCTCATTGAAAATACCTGCAAAAAAATAAAATACCTAAGAATAATACATTTAACCAAGAATGTGAAAGGTCTCTACAAATCACTGATGAAAGAAATCATTGAAGACAGAAACAAATAGAAAAACATCCCATGCTAATGGATGAGAAGAATCAATATTGAAAAGATGACCATACTGCCCAAAGCAATCTACAGATTCAGATTCAGTGCAATTTCTATCAAAATATCAACATATCATTTTTCACAGAATTAGAAAAAACAATTCTAAGATTCATAACAAATAAATAAAAGCCCGAATAGCCAAAGAAATCCTAAGCCAAAAGAACAAATCTGGAGGCATCACATTACCTGACTTTAAATTATACTACAAGGCTATAGTAACCAAAACAGTATGGTGCTGGAATAAAGGTAGACACATAGATAACCCAGGAACAAATCATATACATACAACCAACTGATTAAGTAGACAGAAACATACGCTGAGGACTGCACTATTCAATAAATGGTGCTAGGAAAATTGGGTAACCATATGCAGATGAATGAAACTAAATCCCTATCTCTCACCATATACAAAAATTAACTGAAGATGTATTAAAGACTTAAATGTAAGACCTGAACTCCTAGAAGAAAACCTAAGAAAAACTCGTCTGGACACTGGCAGAGGCAAAGAATTTATTACTAAGACCCCAAAAGCAAATGCAATAAAAACAAAAATAGACAAATGGAATTTAATTAAACTAAAAAGCTCTGCACAGTAAAAGAAATAATCAAACAACCCAAGTGCCCATCAATACATGAGTGGATTAATAAAATGTGGTATATGTATACCATGGAGTACTATTCAGCTTTAAGAAACAATGGTGATATAGCACATCTTGTATTTTCCTGGATAGAGCTGGAACCCATATTACTAAGTGAAGTATCCCAAGAATGGAAAAATAAGCACCACATATACTCACCAGCAAATTGGTATCAACTGATCAGCACCTAAGTGGACACATAGGAATTACATTTATTGGTTATTGGGCAGGTGGGAGGGGGGAGAAGGGTATGGGTATATACATACATAATGAGTGAAATGTGCATCATCTGGGGGATGTTCACACTTGAAGCTCAGACTTGTAGGGGGAGGGGAGCAAGGGCATTATACGCAACCTTAAAATTTGTACCCCCATAATATGCTGAAATTTAAAAAAGAGCAAAGAGACAACCTACAGAATGGGAAAAAATTACTCACCAACTACATATCCAACAAAAGACTGATACCCAGAATCTACATAGAACTCAAACAACTCACCAAGAAAAAAACAAAAATCCCATTTAAAAGTGGGCAAATGATATAAACAGGCATTTTTCAAAAGAAGATATATAAAAGGCCAACAAACATATAAAAAGTGCTCAACACATCACTAATCATCAGGGAAATGCAAATTAAAAGCACATTGAGATACCATCTTACTCCAATTAGAATGGCCATTATTAAAAGTCAAAAACTAGATGGCACAGATGTGGTAAAAAGAAAACACTAATGCACTGTAGGTGGAACTGTAGATTAGTACAACATCTATGGAGATCATTGTGGAGATTTCTCAAAGAACTAAAGTAAATCTACCATTCGATCCTGCAATCCCACTACTGGGTATCTACCCAAAGAAAAAGAAATCATTATATTAAAAAGATACCTGCACTCATGTGTTTATTGCAGTACAATTAACAATTGCAAAGATATGGAATCAACCTAAGTGCCAATTAACTGATGAGTAGATAAAGAAAATGTGGTATATGTATACCATGGAGTACTACCCAATGATAAGAAAGAATGAAATAATGTCTTTTGCAGCAACTTGGACAGAACTGGAGACCATTATCCTAAGTGAAGTAACTCAGGAACAGAAAAATAAATGCTGCATGTTCTCACTTATAAATGAGAGCTAAACAATGACTACACAAGGATATACAGAGTTGTATAATGAATATTGAAGACTCACAAGGGAGGAGGGTGAGAGGAGGTTAGGGATAGAAATGACCTATGAGTACAATGTACACTACTCATGTGATGGGTACACCAGAAAGCCAGACTCCACCACTATACAATATATACATGTAACTGAATTCAACTTGTACCCCTAAATGTATCAAAATTTTTAAAAAAGAGAAAAAAAGAATGGGAATAAAATACCTTAAATATGACATTTTAGTCAATATATATATGTATATATATTTGAAAATTTAAAAATGTACTGTTAATTATCATTAAATATCTCCTATCTCTTATTAGGAGAAATATTGGATATTTTTTAAGACTTACTCTCAAAGGAGAAATATTCTGAAAATAGAAGGTATGTGGAATTAAGTGAAAATATCACATATCAAAACCTGTGGGAAGGAACTAAAGAAATTATCTAAAGGACATTTTATAACCTTAAATGCTTATATTAGAAAAGAAGACTGAATATTAACGAGCTGAGCATCAATCTTAAGAAAGTGGAAGAAACAGAGGAAACCCAAAGTACACAGAGGAAGGAAGTAATAAAGTTAGAGCAGTTGATGAAATATAAAACAAACTTGCAATAGAAAGGTTTGGCAAACACAAAATTTGGTTCTTTCTAAAACTATCAAAATAATGATAACAACAGAAGACCGGGTAGTTAAGTGGTAGAAAGCGGGCTCTGAGGCTGACTGCCTGGGCTGAGTCCCAACCCTACCACTTACCAGCTGCATGGCTTTGAGACATGACTAGTGGCCAGCATCAGTGGAGCCACAGCTCAAACTCTGGACTGCCAAAGCCCAGGGCCCATACACTAACTGGTTATCCTTACAAACAAGACTTCCAAGTTGTATACTCTGACAGGAGTATCTTCCTGCCATAATGAAAATGGGTATTATTATCCCCATTTTACAGATAGGAAAACTGAGGTTTGCAAAATTTATGTAATCCTCTCCAAGTCATAGAACTATCAACTGCTGGAAGTGATTCAAGACCAGATCTTTCTGACACCAAAGTGTACCCTCTGAACCCATGTGCCTATCCCAGAAAAGAGGAAAATCCCTGTCGGCCATTCAGTGCAGCGATGCTCTGGAAAGCTATTTACTGTATACCCAACTTTAGGGAAAATATCTTTTTTAAGGTAGAATGTAAATCAAAAGGGGCAAATACCCCTTGCTCATACTTCTACTAATAGTAATCCAGTGGTTAAAAATATGGGCTTTGGAATCAGAAATAACACCAATAATTGCTAATATTTATTAGACACTATATTACCAGGCATAATGCTAAACTCTTTAAATCCTTACAACATCCATTTTCACAGGTTCTGTTACTGTCCTGTAATGCAGACTGACAACCTGAGGTGCAGAGGAGTTAAACTCACACAGCTAGTGGCAGAGGCAGGATTCTGACCCAGACCATCCAACACCAGAGCTGACATTCATGTACACACTAAACTCCTGGGCCCCAACGTCCCGACCCGCCAATTGGGAATGACAATACTCATGCCCTGAACTGTGAAGGGGAAATGAAATGAGGTAGGTAAAGCCCCCAGCACAGCATCTGGCATGCAGTAAGTGAGGATGATGGTGATGGTGATGATGATGATGAGGAGGAGGATGGTGATAATGGTAATGACAACTGGTACTTGCAAAGATAAAGGCTAATTGCTCCAGAACAGCTTACTGCATAACATCCTCAAAAAGAAATCTTTCCTTCCATTTCACTCACACAAATCTTCATGTGGACAGATCATTTGTGCTCTATGCAAAAGCTTATTTTCAAATTCCAAATCACAGCATTTTGCATTATATGAAGATAAGAAGAAAAGTACTTAAAAGAACCTGACAAATAAAACCATAGAGAAGTGGGGGGAAATGCTCACATTACCCACTGCAGTATGTCTAGCCTTGAACTTAATTTTCCAGAATTCTCAAAATATCAGTGATCGCAGCATAAAAAAGACCAATTAATCAGGTTGTGTTTGTTCTCTATGTGTGAGTCACTGTTGCCATCTACAGTTAAATATGGGGCATGCAAGGCTGCCAAATAACTGACTAACCCTAAGAGCAGAGCCCTGGAGACGGTGGTGCTGAGAAAATACGTTTGTTCAGTGAGTACAGAAAAAGAAAATGCTACCTGAAGGAGCAGCTCTTTTTCAACCACCTCTTCAGTCTTGCTGATGAGACGCTTCTGCAGGGTGTGAATTTTCTGAATCAGCTCAAAGGTACTAGGGTCGCTGGCCTGTCCAAAGGGAACAACAAGAAGTAGCTGAGATGGCATCAATTTCAAAGCACCTTGGTCCCTATGTAAGATAATTATTGTTTTATAACATTAAGCCTATTGCAAACCTGCAGACCCAATACAGAGAATATTAGAACCAAAAAAAAAAAGTGTAACAGATGGGATAGTCATAAATACCTGCCCCCCCAAAAAGTAGATTGCAGTTTTCTGGATGTCTTATCTATAGCTCTAGTTAACCTATATATATAGAAAGTAAATATGTCTATTCCACAGTGGAAATAACAATAATAGTAGCTACTATGCATGATATCTGATTCTTTGCCACCATCTAACACTATGCTAAGTGCTTTTCATACAATATTATGTTTTAGCTGCAAGACAGCCCTTTGAGACAGTATCACTCTTCCCCTTTCACAGATAAGAAAACTGAGGCTAAGAGAAATGATATCCATTACCGAGACTGGTATGGATCAGAGCTGGAGTCAAGCCCAGATATGCCTGGCTCCAAAGGCTGTGCTTCCTAATTACTATGCCCCGAGGCTTTCCCTACCATCCCCTCTGTTTCTGTAGGAGTGAGGTGGGGTTCCCTAATTCACTCAGCCTTAGGATTCTCCTTTGGTAATTGTCTACAGGAAGATTAATTGCAGTCCATGATGGGGAAGGTTTCCAGGATGTGGACTTCTGCTAATTATTGGCAGCGGAATGTGACCATGGCATTTAGCTTTGAAATGGAATTATCAATCCTCAAAGCTTTGATGCTCCTTCAATAGCTATCTGTGTACAATTCAAACAAGATATATAGTTATAAATTGATAATTTGTCCTCTAGACTTTGAGCCAAGGCTTCACTTTCAACGGTACTGACATTTTTAATTCATCCAACAGCCAAATATTTTCAACTGCCTCCCAGAGTCTCCATTTTCTAATTTTTTAATAGAAATTGACATGGAAGTGGACACTTTAAAGATGTGCTAAAAACACATGAAATAAACTAATGTGACAGTAAATGAATTTAAAATCTGCAGCTCCACTTCCCCAGACATACTCGTATCATTGTTGGGTTAGTAAACTATACCACCCTTGGCATTCGAAGAGGAATAAATGAGGGTCCAAAAAAAAAGAGATTCTATTAACTTTGCTTAAGAAATACTAAGCAGTGCCAACTGATATCCATATACTGGGACTAAATTTGGCACACATTTACTTGGCAGGACTGGATGTTGTTAAAATTCAGGCCCCATGTTTACCTAAGAATTTATAATGCATTATCCTTAATGTTTTCTTCATTAAATAGAAAAAATAAAAAATGAAAAACAAACACCTACTTGGCTGACTTTCTGCCTTGCCCTGCTCTTTCTTATATCACATACTTAAATCTCCCAACAACCTAATTGTTCATGTAGTCAAAGCCCCCTTTGGCACCCACCTTACTAAAGGAGATGGCCATGTTTTTCTTGAATAAGCAGAGTTTGTCTTTAACTGTTATTTTCAGTGCTGGTAGTAATGTCTTTCAGGAAGTCATAAAATAAAATATGAAGTTGATCATCCACCCCCTACCAATGGGATTTTGGCTATGTCCTCAGATCCTAAGAGAAAGGGTTTGGCTAACATAGCACTAGTCCTTCAAAAACAGGGCTAGTTCACAAAGCCCTATTTCCTGCAAGAAATGAAAGGATGTAAAGACAAATTGAAACACGGTGAAGATACTGGTGGCCAGTATAATTAAGGGCCATTACCAGTCCAAGACTAACAGGCAGCCATAGGATAACTGGTTAACCAAAAACTACCTAAATGTCAATTGGCAAGGCCAGTTCGCAGCTTTCACTGGGCCTTCTTTAGCAGAAAGGATATTGCCCAATACTTTTCAAACAAAACCCAAATGAACCATCTGGTTCTGGAACAACTCAATTTACATTTGATCCAGCCTTACATTTTAGGTGACAATTTGCATAGCATTAAATAAAACCGTGCTTCCCATTGTGCTTTAGGTTAGGAGCTTCGCGTGGGGTGGGAGAAGAGATTTGGGGCTGGGAAGAATTCTCTGCCAGATGTTACCTCGAGCTTCCTCCATCTGTGCACATTCAAGGGGTTCTCCAGTTCCTCCTCCAGGGCTCGGCATCGTGTCCTCTCCTTCAAGAATTCTCTTTGCATGTGAAAAAGCTCCTGCCTAAATAAGACAAACTTTGTTTTGCAAAGACATTCTCCACCCATTTGAATATCATCATATCTTTAGATGGTTACATACACACTACATCTTATGTAAAAAGTTGGACTTAGGGAGCCTTTGGTGAACACTGTGATCAGCCTCCTAAATCTGGGCAAGACGCAGATGATATCGATTCTTGCAGAGCTCAAGAATTGCCTTAGCTTTAAAAAAAAAAAGAACCAGGGCTTCAGCATCATGATTCTGGATACTCAAGAAATTTAGAAATCTATGAAAAGAATCATGATTCTGGATACTCAAGAAATTTAGAAATCTATGAAAAGAATCATGATTCTGGATACTCAAGAAATTTAGAAATCTATGAAAAGAATCATGATTCTGGATACTCAAGAAATTTAGAAGTCTATGAAAAGAACAAAGTAGGGGGAGGTGAATTGTGAACGTTTCAATATACTTTTTAATATTTTTTAATGTCTCTGTAGTAGCAGAAAGTAAACAGTCTACGTTCCCCACACACAGCACCTGACTGCAAGACACTGAGGCTCAGGTGATAACCTGACACCCGTTAGGGCAGGACATTGCCACCACCACTACGCACTGCAATCCCCCAGGGAGCTTTGAAAACATCTCTTTGCCTGGACCCACTCCCCAGAGAGATTCTGCCTTAATGGTGTAGCTGGGTCCCGGGCTTCATAGCTCTTCACTCTCGTGTGCAGCCAGGATTGGGAAACACCGAGTTAGGGGTGATGGTGATATTTTATCTCGCATTCCACAACTACACAGATGGCTGGAAAAGTCCTGAAGAACTAGCGCTGGCTCAAACATACTGCTACAATCTGCGGGACTCTCCAGTTAATATGTAATATGCGACAGCCAGTCTCCGTGTCCTGTGAGCTGGCTGTAACCCTAGCGAAGGAGAAGCTTTGACGGGAGGCAGAGAAGAGGCAAGCGCTTGCATTGACATGGGCAATAAGGATGTTATTATCTGTCCTCGTCTGCCGCGGGTGTGCAGATTACTGATACTAAGCCATCTCTTTTACTTAATTGCTTCATTTAAACCAATAATACAACTTCCCCTCATTAGCAAGACAAACCATTAGAATTAACTGCATGATGTTCACTCAACAGGGAGCTCAGAACAAGCTGCTTAGAATTAAAAGCATATTTTTAACACTTGCATTTTCTGAGTGTCATCAGAAGGGGAGGGCAAAAGTATTAGCTACTGTACTGGATGGCTGACTGTGTACTGGACTCTGTGCTGGGCACATTACATTTGTTTTTGTGTTTAATTGTAACTACAAGGCCAAAGCTCAGAGAAGTTCAGTGATTTGCCCAAGGTTGCACAGTTTGTAGGTGGGAAGGTGAGCTTGGAATTCATGCCTGCTTGCCTCCAACCTTTATTAAGCTGTCTTCCCATTGAAAAGAAAAATAAAAGCTATTGTCAAGAAACTAGAAATACTCGGTAAAATTTGGTCTTTGTGTATGTAATAAAAATAACAAATTTAGTAATGGTCTTGGAAACCATTCAATAGCTACTTAGAATGAATCCATTTGTCTTCAAGACGTCAATGGTGGTATCTCCGGGTAGTAAAGTTATGAGTGATTTTCTAATCCCATCTTTATATTTTTTCTGCATTTCCCACATTTTCTACAATGCATTTTTGTACCACTTTCATCATCTGAAAGACAAGCAACTCTTAAAAACAACAAAAATGTATTGATCCATCCTTGATAGTAGCAACTTTGCTATTCCCAAATACATTCACTGCATGTAAATATCAAAACTATCTCCTAACCAAATTAATTTGAGAAGCAGAACCAAACTGTGTCCTTATTCCAAGGTGGTCAAGAATACTATTCATCTACAAATCTGTGGGGAATAAGGACAGCTGCTGAGAAAAAAATACCAGATCTCTTATTTGGTTTCCTGCAATTGCCTACATAAAAAACGGGGATGTTTTCCCAAGGGGAAAGTAGATCTCGTGTGATGTAAGATTTAAAGACAGAAGAAGGCACACTAAGCTAAAGTGAAAGCTGCAGAAGATAAATCAAGAGGGAGATATAAAATTTGGCTGCCTTCTAAGGAGATAGTGTTTTCAAATAATGATAAAATTAAATTTTCTACCTATTTGCATCTTGTATATAATCTGAAGAAAAAGATGTGCAATAAATTTAAATATTGATGCTCAATCTCTTACATTATCACCTTATTAAAGAAATTCAAAAAAGCTCATGGGGGGGGGGAATGTCTGAATTGTAACTAATTTGTGTGTGTGATTTGGCTAATAATTTCATCACATCACATAAAATTCATTTTGTACAACTTAAAATACCTTCCATCCAACAAGCATGATCACAGGGCCCCTTCAGGAGCTCCCCCCAGACCACTGTGCCCTCAGCCCGGAGAGTCTCCTATTACCTGAGTTCCTCGACATTAGCCACACTCCTGGCAAGAATCCCCTTCTCCCGCCGAAGCTTCTTGATCTCAAGTTTGAGGATCCTCATGTCCTCCACCCTCTGGTTGTACTGGCTCTCGCCTTTATTCAGCACTGACTGCTGGATCTTGATCTTCTCGTAGAGCAACGCTAACTCATCATTGCGGCGAACAAGCTGAGACCCCAAAATATCTCTCTCGCTGATGACCTAGAAAGGTAGGGAAGGGCATGGCCACTAGGGAATGAAAACTCTTGTTTTTCATTATGGTAGCAGCACACACTCAGTCAAACAAGTATCTATCGAATGCCCACATGTGCTGGGTATAACGATCGCCGGCTGGAGAGTCAGCACTGGACTGCTCTCATTAGCGTTTGCGAAAGCACCATACAACAAATAATCCATAATAATGATAGTCCAATCATCTAGTAATCTTGGGCCCATGGATATATCATTTTGTTTGTTTGTTTGTTTGTTTGTTTGTTTGTTTTCCAACCTATTATTTTTCCTAATGTTGAAATCTGAATGATTTCATGGTGGGCTAGCGCTTGCCAAGTTCCACCACTCCTTACTATCTTGCACTGGTCAACTTCTCTCTGCCAGGTCCCTGAAAGCATTTACGTTTCTAACCCCCAAATTATGCACTTGAATTTCTATCTTCCAAATTATGTAATTATTCCTTGCAATTATAGGCGAGCAATTATACTAGAACGTAAGCTCCCTGAGAACAGGGACCTGCCTGTCTTGTTGGCCAAAGTGTCCCCAGTGCCGAGAGGAGTGATGGGCACGGCAGGTGCTCATAAATACGAGTCTAACAAATGAGTGCATGTGTCATAATTGATCGACACAAGTCAGCCTCTGCTGCTGCTCCTCCAGCAGGATGGGACGGCAGAACAAAGAAAGGAATGAGGGCTCAAGAAGAGTGGAATCCAACACGTGTGTCTGCTGATAAGATCTGCAAGTCTGGTGGGGGGTGGGGAGGGACTGTTCTACCTGGTCTAATTCCTTCTTCTGTCTCAACCTCTCCCCATCGGCCTCGGCAATGATCCGCAGGAGTTTTCTCTCTTCAGCTTCTTGCTTTTCAATGAAGTGTTTGGTCTCCAGGGCTTGTTGTCTCAGCTTCTGCAGCTCAGCCTGAAAAAAGAACAGACGATACCGACAAATTGCATTCCGTTACAGCACAAGCCAGGAGCACAGGGCCTGGAACTAGAAGTGCAGTTGTGCTTCTTATACTTTCCTCGGATGTTTCATTTAAAACGGTTTGAACATTCTCACAAACAAAACAAGCTTATAGCACACACACACACCCCTACACACACACACAAAAGCCCATAAAGAAACAGCAATGCACATGACAGTGATCATGTTTATTCTATGAGTTGTGCCCTTGAGGGATTCTTATAATTTTTCTAAATATGTGTAGCAGGGGCGTCATTGGTATTCAGCAGCATTTCACCTCCTACCAGTGAACACCAGGAGAATTGACAAAGCTTGGTGCAGAGAAGGATGTGGGGCGAGGACCGGGGAGGCCTCTGTACCAGCTCCTTCAGTGGTCCCAACACCACCGGCACATTAACTGCAGACATAAAGCCCACTGTAAGTGAAAACTAAATTAGTCAAAGATGACAACTAAGTGTCTATCTTGTAAAACATCTTGATGGAACAGAAAGGATGTACTGGTATAAAAAGATAGATAGATCCTACTCCTACAACCCTGCCAATCCAGATGAGAGAGAGGATAAGACAGGCAAATATTAATAAGTCCAGGCAAAATTTTTCCAGCATCAGCATTGTCATCACACAGACAGGAAGTCAAAGGAAAGTCGTCACTGGGCTGAGGTCATTGTGGACGCTTTCTCAGAGAGCTCTCACCCAAATATGGCCCATGAGTGTGTATAGAAATCATAGGAATTATGGGGGAAAGGTGCTATGGGCGGGAAATTTTCACAAGGAAAATTTATCCCATCAAAGTGCACATTCACTTCTATTCCACAACTATGTTTGTGACCTACAGTATCCCAGTCCTGATACTAGGCATTTTGCTACTCTTGTCTCCATTTTATAAATGCAATTATAGAAACAAAGAAAAGCAAATCACTTGCCCAAGGTCACAAAGCTAGTAAGTAGCAGAGTTGAGACTCCCACCCACCCTTCTGGTCACCACCCAATAGTTTCAAACCAAATGCAAAAGACGAGCAATGCTTGAGGGATTCGCCATCCACTGAAGATCATGGATATAACCATCAACAATGTGGAAATGGTATCTATCTCTTCAAAGGACAAGAGCATACGCCCAAAGGGATTTCTATTTCTGCCTGGGGTTTAGAGGGAAGAGCCAGTCAGGTCCTGCAATTGGAGGGGTGTGTGTCGGCAGGGAGGACATACAACATTCGGGCTTGTGTGAATAATGGCATGCAAACTATAAACTACCTGCGGTGTTCACCAGACAGCAAAGCATCCAGTGCAGCGGGATTAAAGAGTTAGGCAGGGACTAGCTGGAGGTGAAGCTAGGCCAGACTGGGAAGGGCCTTGCATGCCATGCACTGCACAGAGTGTGCAATGGGGAACCATGAAAAGGAAAGGAGAATATGTCTTTTGAGAGGTTTCATGCCCAGCTGGGAAGGACAAGGGGTTACCATGTCAGCACAAGAAAAAACAAATGAGGAGGAAGAGCTCTGCTTTCACCCATACCTGGAATCAGAAGGGAAATGGCAAGATGATATAAAGGTTTCAACTTGTCAATCAACAGTTTGCAGGTTGGCAAATGACAGGAAAAGAGTAAGAATGTTTTCTCTCAAGTAAGTATTGGGACCCACACTCTCATCCAACCAGAAAGGTCACCAAGATGATGGGAAAGCTCATACGTGCAAATGCCTATGAGCCAACCCAACTCTACTCGAGTTCCGCCTCTAACCCACGAAGACAAAGAGTCATTAATTCCACACCTCGGACTTATCCAAACAGTATGAAGACACTGTGTGCCTAGTAATAGATGTGTAATGCCACAAACTGAATGCAGCTAGCTACTGTAAAACCAAAGGTTTCTTTTATGACATTTTGTTTGCTCATTCATGAAATATGTTTTGGTCTCAGGATAAGCAAAAGGAAATACTTATGGAGAAAAGATCTGGTGCAGTATTTACCATTTGGGGGAACTGCCTGTTAGGCAATCAGAAAGAACCAGCCTTTCTGTTTCTATAATCATTTAAGGTGACAGCAAAGACAGCAATAAAATACCTGTTTGGCTCATGCTTTCTTTAATAAAACTTTTATTTTCCCAGATGTGCAACATTCACTTCCCTGTTCTTAAGTGCCAAGAGCTGATCAGAATCCATCAGCATAACAAAATGAAACCCCTGTTATATTAAAATGCAATCAACAGTGTGTAAAAGTATCTGTCTGAAATGTAAAACCATCCGTGCGTTTGGCATTGCTAGGTACTTTTTTCATAATATATCAAAATTCTGAGTGGTCTCCTTATGTCATAAATTTATGAGCTGTAAACAAGATGTGGCATTAGATGTTAGCAGCAAATGTTAACATCAACAAAATACCTTGAGTCTAATGCACTTAGCGGTTATAAATCTGAGCTGTCTCACCCAGGAAAGATGGTAACTGTTATGCACCCAAAAGCTCATCAAACAACATCCTAGGTAGAATCTGTGGTTTCTGCACCTATCAAAGTGGTAGTGGTGATATGAAGGTGTAATGAAATGGCAGGGCACACCCTTTAGTCACGGCTTCTACAATTATACAATTTCACAATAGGTACTTACGGACTAAATATAATCTAATTTTCTCCGGGCATAAATCGTAACTCAAAAGCCATATTTGCAGGAGTCTCACCCATTCATACATGATCCCAGCATTCACTGGGTTTCATAGAAGCTCTCTATTTAAATCTAGCAAAACAAACAGGACCACTTGAAGTCTTCTAGCCACGAGAATAATTAGACTTTCTCTCTCTCTCTCTCTCATGGATGACAGCTCCCTGTCCATGGCAGGCTACAGAGTCCACTAAGTAAAAGGATACGGTGCCCTGAAGCCAGTCCCTAATGTGGTGCTGAGCTCTGGACATGGAGAATGTGCTGCTGAATTATTCACCAAGAATCAAAGTGCTGTCAGATAGAGGTGGGATGATTGGGAAGTGATGAGACAGAATCAGGAGCTCGTTAGAACTGGGAGGCAGACACTCCAAACGAGATGGCTCTCTCAGTGCTGATGAAACACAACTGGGACAGAATGGGCAGACGAACGCAGACATGGCAACATCTACAGAGAAGTATTGATATTCTGTCATGACCATGATGTGGGGACAGTGTCTAGAATACTGAGGCACAAGCCGAGCCCGGTAGCAACTGAAAAAGTGAAAGAAACATAGAAGGACAGGATTTTTTTCATTGAGGGGTATGGATTAGCATGTAGATGCCCTGCTATGGACAGTTGTTTTTGTGTCGGCTTGCAGAAGTCGTAAATTGGGTTGTCCTGCCAAAGGGCATCCCACGGTCTACCAAGCAGGCTAGGGCTTTCCCCTCCTGGAGGGATTATGTACTCATGTAGCTTTGCAGAACTCACAATAATAAGATAAATGTCTCTTGGAGCAAGGTTACTAGAAAATCTGCCCTTTCCCTCAGGATTCCGGTTTGCAAACTTTAGATGCATGAAATCCAGAGACCTGTGTGAAGCGTGATTCAAATTCTTAGGCTAAAAAAGTCAAGAGGCTAAAAGTCAACATTTGAGCTATAATATTTTTCTAAAGAATGTCAAATGGGCTTAATGATAGACCAAAATTATCCAGTCGGAGCACCATTGCAAGTCACCCGTGGATAGCTTCAAATAATAAATCAAGCAAGCATCTTTCTCTGTTTCTCATCCTTGCCTTAATGGGAAATGTGGGAGAAAAGTCATCGTAGTTCCACAGTAAGTCCAAAGCAATCATCTTCCTATAATCGATGACCCAAAACCATCCAGACCTGGGATTTCCCACTGGGAGCAGATTTTCCAGGGCAGAAGCCTTTTAATCATCCTTCACGTCCACCAGCCGCCAACTCTGCTGGCCCAGGACCAAATCACAGGACCCTATCGCCCTTTATTGTATTTTATTATGATGCATCTTTGGAGCCATATATGTAGATGCCTGATGGCAGAGGGCACAATTGAAAGAAATATTAACTAAAGTCAAACTCTTGGAACCAGGAATAATTGATCTTTTGTATAGGACAGTTATTCTAAAGCAGGATTTAGTAGAAAGCAGTTAGTTCCACCTTGGGCCCCAGTATGGGCTAATAATTAATCTCTTGAAATGGAGCATTACTTGGGAAAGTAAAAGATGAGACTCCACACCATCCTCTAAAGCAGGCGTCCTCAAACTTCGGCCTGTGGGCCACATGTGGGTGTTTTTGCCCCTTTGTTTTTTTACTTCAAAATAAGATATGTGCAGTGTGCATAGGAATTTTTTCATAGTTTTCTTTTAAACTATAGTCCGGCCCTCTAACGGTCCGAGGGACAGTGAACTGGCCCCCTGTTTAAAAAGTTTGAGGACCCCTGCTCCAAAGAGAAAGTGATGATGCACCAAATGGACTACACTGAACCTTGCTGATGTGGTCCATGGGGCTCATGGGTGAAGCAATATTTGCAATAATATTTTTCTGATTCATTCAGCAATAAATAAACCTCTTCTGACTATAGGCTCCAGGGTGAAAGAAACCACTTTCCGTAAAACTGCTTTCAAACTGGGGCAACAAGGGCAAAGATGCAGGATATTTTCAAATTTTAGAAAACATATATATTTGTTTATATGTAAAAAACATATTTGTTTATATGTAATAAATTCTAATACAGAATTTTCTGTTCTTTTTCTATCATAAGCTAGAGTGGGGGAGATGAAAATCTCACATAAATATAGCAGTTATAATATCTTTTTTGTAAAGATACTTTTGTTACAGCTTAATCTTTCTTAAAAAAAAAAGTGTGCCTTACATTAATTTAATGTAGCAGTTCTATTTCCACGGAAACCTATCATTAAGTTGGCAAAACTCATTATTAAGTTGAGAGTACATATTTCAATCTATGACACCTTAGAATCAAGGAAATATGACATTAAGCCTGCCCAACACTAGGGACACATTTTGAAGAAAGGGACTATCTTTGAATACTAACGTGCAGAATCCAAGGTATCCAGTCTCTAAATTGTAAACAGTTTCTGCAAAGGGCTCACAAGCAACCATGAGTATCTGCACATACATCTTCAAAATCAGTGGCACCATTCTCTTAGAAGTTCTCTTTTTTAGTCCTTTATTTAATAGATTAGAAGGTAAATATATTGGATTGAATATGAAAAGGAATATATATTAGGTTTAGGGATATATATCATGAAACATATTTGGTTACAGGATTTGAAATGTTATCATTATTTGGTATGCCTTCTTGGAAAAAGTCCTTATGTTCGCAGACATAGAAAGTTCTAAATTAGTGGATTCAAAAGGACATGTCTTAGTGAGATATATGAAGACAGAAATGATCCCTGAAGGAGCAGCTCCAAAGTTCTAAGGCTCACTGAGATAGAGTGGATTATGAACCTGGATGGGGCAAACCAAGAGAGGACAGAGCTCTGACAACCAGTTGATGAGACTGTAGGCAGAAAAGTCGCATGCACATGAAGTAAACAATGGTTAGGAGCAGAGGGACAAAGCATCACCTTATAGAAGGCCCAGGGAGGAGTTTGGGAGCATTGGGTGTGAGCACAATGGCTGGACTTGGGCTGTAAATGCCAAGGGGTCATAGCGAGCCTGCAGGCCCAAGCACTTATTGGGCACTGCCAGCCTGCCTCCAGTTCTCTCCCACTGGAGTATGACAGCCAGCATAGATGAACCAGGCACTGGTGCATCTCTGCTACACCCTACCCCGTCCTTCTCGGGAGCGCTACCTGTAAGAATTGTGACCTGGACATAGTAGGGCTCATGCTCCTGGTGCCTTGTGTGGCTGGGTTTGGGGAATTAGCAACTGTGACCACAGGCAGCCTAGACAATTCCCCTGTCCCTTGCTGCCTTCAGTGAGAATGGAGGCCGCCTCGAGTGGGGACCAATAGCCCGTCCCTTCTATGACAAGGTCTGTACCTTCAATGTTTCCTTTTCCTTTTCTATTCGCTGCTGTTCCAGATGCAGCTTCACAAGTGCTGCCTCTTTGGCAGAGATTTCCTCTTTCAGTTGATCAACCTGATGGGTCATAATCTTTAACTTTCTCTTCATTTCTGTTATTTCGTCCTAACAAAATGAAAGAAGAAATGTTTGAAAGTAAATTAAACAGACATCATCATCCCTATGGAAATTCAATGTGTATTTAAGAGCTTTTAAGGGAAGCTCTCTTAAAACAACAATCTCATGACCAATTACAACTGGGCTATGCCTTTGTCTCTTATGCTTGTCTTTATAGCATTACCCCTCAAAATAGTCTCATGAGACAGGGACAAGGTATACATAATGAATATGCACGCGCACACACACACACACACACACACACACGCACACATGAGTATTCCTCATTTTCCAATTCCAAGGATTTGGAAGTACAACAAACATTATAGCTAAGAGATTTCAAAGCCAAGCTATGGAATTAAATGACAAGAGTGAGTAGCTCCCCTCTGAGTCACAGTCTCTATTAGCAGTTTTAAAAATTAGAAAGAGGAGAATGGCAAGTGTACATAATAATTAAAAGTAGGACCATGATCCCCACATCCTATTAAGTTGTGTCATTTCCATTTCAAACAACCTGATAGTACCGCATAAGTTGATCTTTTTCAGGTGAATTCCATGAGATTTCTTTTTGTGATCCCTTCTACATTCTGCCATGAGGATAACAGAAACTGTTTTAAACCCAGGGTAGAGAGAAATCAAAATGCAAAGACGTAAGTATATTCTTTACCTGAGCCTCAACCAGATTTTTGCTGTAAAGATTCCTGTCTGACCTCACAGCTTCATACAGGTTCTGTTGCTGTTTTAATTTGGTCTCCGATTCAGCTATTTTTTTCCTGTAGTCAAAAATCTGCATTTCACGCATTTTTATTTCTTCCATGTTCATAAGGACCTGGAGGAGAAAGAAGTCTATGAATGTGGTTAAATAGCCCCTTTGTGCTTATCGGTTCAGGACAAATGGGGTTTTTAATTTAAGGTGGCTGACAAGATGCCAACGATCAGAAAATCTGACTGTGGCTATAATCACTACAGCACAACACAGAAATTCAGCCTGGCTGATTAGGGGGAAACATACACTTTTATCTACTCCAGAGTTCTGCTCAATTGTATAAAAGCCTAACATAGTTATTTTGTGATCACAACAGAGAAAAAAAAAAAAAGGAGAAGAAATTCTTTCAAGTCTGAAAATCCTCTCCTGACCACCCACCCTATCCACTGAAAAATAAAAAATAAAAATCCACAGGCTTAACACAGAGCACTAAGAAAGATAAATGATAACTTAGCTGTTTGGCCACATTGGACGCTTTATAAAGTTGACCGTAAGACAGGAAAGTGGCCTTTGAACTCTGATAGCCATCATAACGCTGTCTTGCCAACATCAAACTCGCTCCCTCAGGGAAACTCGAAGGACTTCATAAAAAATGCATTCTAGACCGGGTGCTGTGGCTCACTCCTGTAATCCTAACACTTTGAGAGGCCGAGGCAGGAGGATCACTTGAGCCCAGAAGTTCAAGACCAGCCTGAACAACATAGCAAGACCCAGTCTCCACAAAAATAATAACAATAATAATAATAATTTAAAAATTAGGCTGGCATCTGTAGTCCCAGCTCCTGAGGCTGAGGAAGGAGGATCAATTGAGCCTAGAAGTTTGAGGTTGCAGTAAGCTATGATGACACCACTGCACTCTAGCCAAGGCAAGCAACAGAGTGAGATCCTGTCTCAAAAAAAAAAAAAAAAAAGTGTTCTATTGTGCATGATATACTTCCAGGAAAGACAGGATGCAAGAATGATCACCTCCTTTTTGCAACTATGAAAAAGCCAGGCCTGAAATTCCACCTTCAGTCAATACCCCTGAACAGGCAATCCATATAGTAGGAATTACGTAACCCTGACTCTCAGTGGCAATGTCCACAGAAATTGATTTTTTTAAGGACAAACTTCTTTAAAAATTTCTTAAGAAGAAAAATGTTAGAGAAGAAAACTGATTACAGCAATGAAACTATGGTGTAAATAACAGCTAGAACATGGAAAGCAAAAAAAACTTAAAAAGGTTTCATGGAGTTGTCGTGGAGTTTTCTTTTTTAATGATGACAATTGAAGGACGTAGGCACGGCGTTGTGACAGAGCAGGGAGGGAAGGGCAGATACTTGATGTACACAGCCATGGACGGTTCCTCTGGGGAAGTGACATTTTACCTAGAACCTAAAGGTGGAAAAGGACCTCGTAGACCTTTGTGATCACAATAGTCACGATGATTCAGATGTGGGCCACTTGTGAGCATGTGCCCAAATATTGTACAAGGACGCTTCTTTCCTACTTGTGGAATTACTATTCCAGAAAATACACCTTGAGAAGCCCTGTTCTACTGATGGCTATTGTTTAAAATATTTATCCTTTATATCTTTTTTTAAAAGCACCTTTCAAAGTTTTCTTATAGATATTTAAGGAGGAATAGGATTAAATTTTAGTAAATTTTAGTAAAATTTAGTAAATGCCTTTCAACATATGTAATTTTGTACTATTTTTTTCTTATTCGATCAATTGATTTGATACACTTAGTAATAAATTTTTCCTTTTAAAAACATTTTAATTTCTTTTTTTTTTCTATTTCAGCATATTATGGGAGTAACAAATGTTAAGGTTACGTATATTGCCCATGCCCCCCTCCCCCCTCGAGTCAGAGCTTCAAGCGTGACCATCCCCCAAACGTTGCACATCTCACTCATTGTGAAAAAACATTTTAATTTCTTTATACATAGTCCCATGTGCCATAATTTAAAATAAATTCATAAATGTGAAATATATATTTATTTTCCTTATTCACTGGGCTTTCCTTCTCCCTTCATCCCACATCACTCCCTCATCTACTCATAACATAACTAGGTTAACAATCCAGTATGTGCCTGTCCATATTTTTCTTTGAGTTCTGCATATTCTACTCAAGTCAACAAACATAATAATAGCTAATGTTCATCAGGTACTTTATATATACCTGGCATTTTACATGTATTAACGCCTTTGATCTTCACAAAAATCCTTTAAAATGTATACTATTATCACCCAATTTTACAAAGAAGGAAATTGAAGTCAAAAGAAGTAATATTCTCAAAGTTATTCAACTAGTAATATAGAGATACAGAGATATGTTTGTTCTTTGTTTTTTGTTTTGTTTTGAATTTTTAGCCAAATGGGATCTTATTATATGCACTTTGCTATTTATCACTCAATAACACCTTGTAGAAATCATCTGATATTGCTCTAATTCATTCTCTTTAAAGGCTGCATAATAACCTACAGTGTGGGTGTACCATCATATACTTAACTCTTCCCCTCTGAAGGGCATTAACTTTGTTTCCACTTTATTTGCCACTTGGAGCCATGCTGCAATAAACATTTTTGTACATGTGTTCTCCTGTACTTGTACTTTTATTTCTGTGGGATGGATTCCCAGAAGTGGAATAGCTGGCTCAAAAGACATGTATATTTTTAACTTTAATAGGTATTGCTAGATTGCCTTCCAAAATAGCTGTAACACTTTACATTTCCACACTGCCAGCAATAGTTTTCTTAATAGAAAACTATCCTTGCAGTTTCAGGATAAACCCGCTTTGGTCATACTGGATGATTCTTTTAACGTACATTGAATTTGGTTTGCTAGAATTTCATTTAGGATTCTGCATACATTTTCCTAAGTGATCTAGGGCTACAGCTTTCTTTTTGGTTCTATTTTAATATCAAGGTTTCTGTTAGTTTTCATAAAGTGAGCAGAGTACCTTTGTGTTCACTCATTCATTCACTCACCCATTTATTCATTCACTCAATGAATATGTACTGAGGAACTAGCCATGGCAGGCACATGAGTGACATAAAGAAGAGGGTACACATTCCCTTCCTTCCAGTTCACCACTAGTGAGTGACCTACTCATAGAAGGAAGACTCAAGGAATGTGTACAAGTAAACGGAGATACGCACAAGGTGTTATGGGAGAATCAAAGACTGGAAGGTTAATGGATAGTTTCTGAGGACAGACCCATGCATGTTACCTAAGAAGTTAATACTAGAGATTTGCATAATTTGTGAGAACTGCTGCTTCCTTCTTAATCAACTATACCCAACCAAGGGTTCACCTTGGACCCTAGGATCTCTCCCAGGCCTGGAATCTTTGTACATTATCACTGCAGATGGCTGTGGTCCCGAACCCCAGGTCCGTAGCCTGTTAGGGACTGGGCTGCACAGCAGGAGGTGAGCGGCAGGTAAGGGAAGCTTCATCTGTATTTACAGCTGCTCCCCATTACTCACATCACTGCCTGAGCTCCACCTCCCCTACCCTCAACCCCACCCCAACACCGTGGAAAAATTGTCTTCCATGAAACTGGTTCCTGGTGCCAAAAAGGTTAGGGACCACTGTAGAAGGCACAAGTTGTATCAGTAAAGCAATGCCTATCAGTGTTACCCCAAATAATACAAAGGGCATGAGCAACACTTTTTCTAAATTCATACACAAAAAAACTACATGAGAATTATCTGATTCTTAAAGGTTTGAAGGTACTCAATTCTAAATTCATCGGGTGCTCAGTCAGTGTTGGAGCTAATTCCCTCTCAACTTTTTCAGTGGCTCCCATAGTTATTGATCTTTCTAATATTTCTACTTCTCCTTGAATCAAACCCTGATGCATATATTTTCAAAAGAATTATCTGTTTCAACCAATTTTTAAAATTTGTGCAATTATAATTGTACACAGTATTTTTATATGTTTTTACTATTGTTTTACTGTTATTGTTACCAACTGTTATCAAACACTTGATACCAAGTGGAAAGAAAATGGCCCCAGGTAAGAATATGTACAGACTCAGTGGTGAATGGTGTGGATGGTGGTTAGGGCCTAGAAGGAGGAAGATTAGAAAATCAAAGACAATACACTTGTGTTTATATATGTAAAAAAAAAAAAAAAAGAAAATCAAAGACAAGACCTGGGAAAAACACATGTGGGTAGATCTGAAATGAAAAAAATACCAATCCTTCTTCCATCATTTATTTGATCCACATCTTTATAATTCTTTAAAATCAGTAGTTTTTAACGCCTTTTAAGGTATCAACATCGGGAGTTCAAATGTCTAAGGTAGGAATAAATATGAAACTGAAATAAGATGCCCATCACTGGATCTGTTCTTTGTTTGCTTTTTTATTAAAGAAAAAGCACTCCCCTAGCCTAGCACTTGGCCTTTCTATAAATAAGCCGTCGCCCTCTCTGGGGTCAGTGAAATGAATAGATTGAAAATACTTTGAACAGCGTCGTCAGCATTCAGAATATCAAGCAGCACACCAGAGAAAAGAAAAAAATTGTTTGTTCAATCACTTTGAGAAATGTTATAACAAGAATAATCCTTTGCACAGACAGAATAATGCTCCAGAGAAAGGATGAAGCTGAGGACTTTTTTTTTTTTTTTGAGAATCTAACTAGATTAGCATGGTCCATCTTTCTGCACATAACAGTGCACAAAATCAGACACTTGCTCCCAGAATCGTGAAGCTAGGAGTCATAAGAACCCATCATGACACCAGGAAGATCAAAGGAATTTAAGTTAAATGACAATGAAAAAATAACAAGTATTGAAACCAGAGGGAAAAGACAATTTACAAAGCAATTTATTTGTAAATGTTGGGACTGCATTTATTTTGATGGAAATCATTGAAACGAATGTCACGCAGAAGTTCAAATTCTGAAAATTCATAAAACGTACGGAGTGTTAAGTAGCAGCAAAACCTCTTGTCAGCAAGCCGCTGTCCCCTGTTAAAAGTGGCATCTCAGAGACACGGGACTCCAGCTGTGGGGCTGGAGATTAATTGATTTATTACATTCGCAGGTACCTCCAATCAATTCACGAGATAA